ATTGATCACGTGTAAGTCACGTGCTCCTACCTCCACTTACGAATTTGAAGCTTTGGTCGTCATTTCATCAACTTCATGACTTTATGAGACCTATGTAGCATTCACTTAGGGTTTCAAGACGGGTACTCGCAAACCAATGGTAATTAGGGTGTGGATACATGTTTGTGGTAGTAAGTGAATGTCGGCAAACTCGCGTGCCTTGGCCAACACTGACTGGCAATCCCAGTAACGGCCGACAGCAATCGTATCGCTATATTTCATGATAGGAAAGGAAAATATGAGTTCGGAGGATGTAAATATGGAGGGAGATAAATCGAAGCCGGAACCCGATGCGGCAGCGTCTACGGCGCCGTCGCAGACGGCGCAATCTACGCAACCGGCTCAACCCAACACTACCGCCGGCGCTGCGCCGTCGAGTCCGGCGCCTAGTTCCACCAGCTCGAACGGGCGTCTGCCGTACATGACGCAATTCTCGGCAGCGACCCAGATGATCCTCAAGCGTATTAATGGCACACCTGGTAGTCTGAGCTCAGCACTCTCATCGGCGTCTTCCGTTGCTAGAACTATCGAGAAGTCCACGTTCGAGGATGCTAAGAGACGTCTGGTGATGAACATGAATACTTCCCTAACTATGCCAATGCCGACGTCGAAACTGGTTCAAGGGACTCAGAACTCGTCCACATTACCTCTGAATGACGCTTTCCAATTGAGAACACCAGCGCCTCTCAAATCCTTGCCTGAGGGTGGGAAAGCGGCGGGACAGAAAGGCCCGGCTTTAAAAGGGAAAGGGAAGGCGTTACGAGGGACAAAGCGTAAGCGAGGAAAGGATGGAGATGATGAATCTTCGAGTCTGAGCGAGCTCTCCGACAGCGACGCTGAACCTGCCCCTAAAGGCCATGTCGCTCTCACTATGACAAAGTCCGGTCGTCACGTACAGAAGCCAACGCAGTACAACCCATCACAGTCGGCAAAGTCCCAAAAGAGGAAACACTACGGAAAGAGGACACAAGAGCAGGCACTGTGCAAGATATGCACGCGGGGGCTCAGTCTGGCTAGCAACCAGATCGTCTTTTGCGATGGTTGCAATTGCTGCTGGCATCAGCTCTGTCACGACCCCTATATCGATGACGATTTTGTTAACAATGAGACACGGTCGTGGTTCTGTAGCGGCTGCCGTGCGAAAAGGGAGAAGCATCTCGCCAAGAAGAAATCTCTCGGTGGATTCAAAGGGGTTAGTTGGGTGAACAAGAGTGCTGAGCAGGTAAATTGACTGATAATTCTATTGCGCAACGCAGATACTAACCAACCCCATAGAGACGGTCTTACTTGTCCAGCGTTCCACATGGCCAATTGGTCAACATCATCATGTACAGCACCGAGCTCCATCCCGACCTGCCAATATTTCCAGCTCATGAACCTGGCTCATCAGTAAAGCGCAATGCTCAGAGCTTGTCTGCTAGTGGGACGAACGATGGCACCGTTTTGAGTGGACCAATTCACTATGCCCGTAAGTTCTCGGCACCTGAATCCCTCTCTATGAATAAAACTGAGTCAAACTATAAAGGAGATGAGAGCACAAAAGTCGTTGTTAAGGAAGAAAATCAAGAAGACCGTGAGTCTTCGGTCGAATCCGTGCCCCCAGCCTGGCCAAAGGTGGGCCGGGGCTGCCTGGCTGGTCTCGATATGAATGAAGGGGATTTGCAAGACAAGAATGACTACGAGGCCTTCAGCGTGACCACGTATGACTCTAAGGGTAAAAAGATTATAGAGAACGGTGTGAAAGTCTGAAGTGAGTCAAAGGAGACCTGAGTCGGTCGTAGCTTGGGTGTAGACTGGCTAATGGTTGATACCAAGAGCTGTAGCTCATACTATAGCAGAGTATTGATATATCATTATCCCCAAAGGCATTCAATATGGCCTATGGGGCAGTAAGAGTTGACTGGGTCGGACTAGCTTATGTTTGTATGCAAATACGCGGTTCAATACAAAGCACTGCACAATGCTAAAAAAGTATTTGCACTATCGTGAAAGACTTCCCTCCATCTCGCAGAGCCAAAAAGCCTGCATCAAGCATAGTCTGCTAATACTCAATTAGCCTCCATACCCAAAAGGCCGTAGGACTCCCAGATATTTGACATATACCACACTGTTCCAGGAGCGCCTATATATCAGTATCATTAAGCCAATACCTCTTTGATATTCTACATTTTCGCGTGCTTCAGAAGACGAAACAACCCCTCCTGAGAGCAGCTCACCACAAGCTTCCCAGTTTTCCAGTCCCAAAGCCTCTGTTCAACAAGCACCCTCCCATCTCCAGCCCACGAGGTCTCTCGCTCACACACCATCCACTCATCAGCCCTCGCCGCCGGCGCATGGAAACGCGCTGATTGATTCATCGTCGAACCCACGACGATATCGCCCGGCCCCTTCCCCACCATCCCCGGATCCGCCAGAATCGGAAGCCCCAGAAGCCACTCATCCGTCAGAAACGCCAGCGCCGCCGCGTGCACGCCATGGCTCCCCGCCGTCAGCAGGGGCGATCGCACGAAGCTTTGCCACCGGAACAGCGGCGGGCTTTCCGCTTTTTTCCAACTTATCGGACGCCAGTCAAAGGGATCGGGCGGGCCGTTTTTAATCTCTTGGGGTGTATTGCCCAGGCCCAGGCGAAACAGCCATTCGTTGTCGCGTAACGCGGGGTCGTCGGGGTCGGCGTCGCGCATGTCCGGCATCGCGGGCCCGTAGTGGAGAACGCGGCCCTTGAGCTCCGCGGCGGTCCGCTGGTACCCGATGGTGGCCACGTAGAGGCAGGTGTCGCCCTGGGTAGCGCGCACCTGGCGCGTCGCGAAGGCGCGGCTGTCGGCCAGGCGCTCGACGCTGTATACGATTTTCTCGCTGGCGTTGCCGGCGCGAGGGAACGTCGACTGCAGTGAGTGCAGGGCGAATGCCGCGTCTACGGTCTCATTGGCTGCGGAGACCGATTGCCCAAGCAGGAAGCCGCCGAATATGGCTCTCAGTCCTTCTGGCGGAATCCAAGGCGGGCTATGATGGGTTAGAGAGAATGGCTGTCAAGGCTATTTGTTATGAGTATCTCACACGTACTTTGTATTTGTAAAGGTGTCAGGGCCTCCGTCGGCGAGCCGTACGACAGCCACATGAGCTTCAACTTGTGCAGGTTCCGGCATAGTTGACGCGGAGGCGATTGATGACGAAAGCCCTCGGCCATGCAGTTCTGGACGTGTTTCAATACAGAAGCCATGAGCTTTCTACGAAGAATAAATATTAAAGCAGGTTGATGTATATATGTGTGGCGCAGTTCAGCTGAGGTAACATCGACCGAGGTAGGCGTAGGATGCGTGTAGACAGCTCTTATTGGCTACTGGCCCCTTTTGGTTCTCTGATACTGGCCGACTGGCAGCCTACATAGCCAAGTCTTCGACTTACGCCATAAAATTAGTCTTTTATTCGTCATTACTATATTCCATTTAGTCTTGTAGCATGGATAGATTTAGATCATGAATAAGACGCTCAGGGGTATTTAAACATACCCCAATAGTTGCCATTGTTATTGAAAAAGAATTCATACTGAAACTAATGCCGGTGATACGATTCAGATGATAGATACGCAATATAAAAGCGATCAATACTCAGGCTCATCACACTGCTAAGTTTCATGATGTATCCCTAGCTGCTTTTGTAACTTACAGGCTTTAAATACACGACCTTAAATCTCCAAGCTAGCATAATGATCACCACTACAATACGATAGCTCATAGTTTAACGATAAACATGCCATATCTCTTAATCGTATACTCTTTCAGATTCTGTACGGTAATCTTTCCTCGTAACAGAGTGTCCGGTGGCTATTCCTAACAACAATCACCGCTGGGAATTCGGATCGGTAATATGTTAGATGGTATCAGATTCAATTAAGACTTCTACTAGCGGTGTATTACGGATATAGCGCATTAGACACCATGTTACCATCTACGAGTTTAAGACATGAGATATTTTCTCGCTTGGTCTAGAGCATGACTGGGAGATTGACGAATTTGTTCCTCTACTCTTCCAGATTGTTCCCCAAGGCGAGGGGACACACCTATGGATTTAATCAATGAAATGTACCATATCCATCAGCCATTGGTACAGATTCGTCTACACTATTGGCCATAATAGGTTGAATGTAAAGGCACTATTAACTCCGTTGCCAACATTGTCCATCTCATATAAAATTTTCGACCAGAGAACCGATATAGCCTTATAGATGATCTCAGGCAAGGAGGATCTAGGGTCTTGCGGGAACCTAGATGTTCTACAGAAACTATCCAAGAAGCGCCCCCGATAATCAGTCTTTCCTGCTGGCCTTTTGCAAATAATCGTATGGTTAGGATAGCTTCAGAATACCCCCAGGAATATCTGTGGAGCCGTTCAGCCCATGTTCTCTAGCCAAAGTCAAAGACCGAATATCTAGAGCCCTACAAGCCATCTAATTGGCCATGCTTGTAATGAGTTTTAGGGGCGGCATATAGAGATGGTGGTACGATAGATAACTAAACAGGTAATACACATGTAAAATTTAATGCATCTCTAACAATATGCTTGACCCAATACACAGTAACAGCGATGATTAAGGTGCATGCTCTGTTAGGTATTTACTGTTATCAAGGTCTTAGAGCTAGACTGTAGTGAGTCTTTATCTCAACATTACAAGCTGTGAGATAAGCAACACCTTATGCTATCTGCACCAGTAAATATAGTGAAGCTTTCAAGGAAGAAATGTAGTTCAATGATTCACTAGTAAGTTCTTTTAAGGCGTTAAGAAGGAAAACTGTACCTACTTCTAGGTCAAGCGATAATACCCCGATAAAGAGGTTCTTATTCCAATATTGAATGGATGGCAGCCACTCAGGCTTGTACTGAATATATGTGGAGCCTGCCGCCGACCGGCTTATGTCTGACGCGCACACTAGCAAAAAGTTAAATATCTGACAAAAAATTTCATACGAGCAGGACGGGACTCGAACCCGCAATCTTCGCCAGTCTCCAGGTTACCGGAAAGCGACACGTTGCCATTACGCCACCCGCCCGATGGCAGGATGTAAGCCACATCTCTTTTATCAATCTATATTCTAGGCCAAACGTACCTAGCATGACGTATAATCGCATGATTCACACTGCTACCTCAATGCCAACTCTGTTTAATAGCTCGAACTATTATTGCGCAGTGCTATTATGCCTTGCGCCTCGAGCAAGTACACCGACCTGGGCAGTGTCACGATAGGGGTAGCTGCACAGGCATTAGAGCCCCCTTTTGTGTTCTCGAGAAAACAGTCATCCCGTCCCGAGACCATGCTATATAGGTAGACTACCTTTCCTGAAGAACTTACTGGACAATGATCACTTGGACGATATAATAGATTGAAGTGAACAAGCTAGCTGCGATCATGACAATATCTAAATGCCGATTGCACACACAATAACAGCAATGCCTTCTGAATCCCTTTATTTGTGACTCAGTTTGGGTAAGGCAACATAGTCTATTTTCTTCCCCTTGATGTTTGTCACACCAGGTCCCTTTTTCTCTTCTTGTAAAAGATGACTGCAATTCGGACTAGATACTCAATTTCTCACAATGGTGCCGCCGATGCTCACAAGAAGGTTCAAGGTTATGTGACCGTTACCACTTCTTCTCCTAGTAACTGTCTTCCTTCCGCCCCAATTTTTTCCGCTTTGTCAATGTGCTTCTATTGAAATGTACCAGGCATGGAAGGCCTTGTCTGCGAGTCTAGATAAATTGACCTATGATGTCTTACGCACACTTCGAGGAGTACAGCACCTAGACCACATGACTCATCGCCTATACCTCCGTTATCAGATACTTCTCTGTGAAAGGAGCCTCATATTTGCTGCTAGTTTGAGAAATGCAGACATTTGATTGCCTTTACTAGGTTACTGGTAGGATCTCTCTTGTCTCGTGTGTCGCTACGCATAATGATGAATCTGTTAACGCCTGGAGGACATAATGGTATTTACCTATGCCTGTCTGCGAGTCTACAGAAGATAAGTTTTCGTGTTGGTACTTCTATGGCACTTACAATGACTGGAATATCTGGTTTCCCATATGTTACCATTGCGACACCCCTATTTCACCGGATAATACTGCTTTAAACAAAAACAAAAAAAGGGTTAGCTGTCACCGAAATGGCTATTCTTACCGTAGTCCACTTGGGGGTGGATATACTTCTCCGGCGGTGTATTTCACCTAGTAAATAAGTAAATTATCTTTAAGCTTTATATAGCTATTTGGGATGCCGCCGACACCTTTAATAATAACTGAAAACAAAATCCGCAAAGCGCACCAATTCTATCAAGACCGTAGTAAAATCTAAACGCCCGTGTTTCTTTATCTAATGATATTTCTCGGCTGACCTCCCCATAGCCTCCTTAGCCTTGAACCTCTCGCTGCTAGCGCTATTAACGAAGGTATTCATATATAACTTCACTGTTTGCCGCGCTATTTGGCTGCCTTCAACTGTAAGTGGCAATGATTTGTACGCTGCCGCTGCCCGCTGCCGAGAGCGCTTATCGTGAAAGGGATCCCACTTTATACTAGTCGCGATAGCTTCAAGGACGAGTGTTACTAGAAGTTTCAAAAGGAAAGCTACTTTACAACTGAACAGCGCCTTACTAGTAAGATATACCGCGGTGAAAGTATATCCACTATTAAGTGGACTACAGTGAAAATAGCCATTTCGAGCTGTCTCGCACCTTATACCACCACTCTTGGTGATGATACAAACTTCGTAGCTGTGTATGTAAAATATTTCATAGTGTATGTATTTCTCTCATGTTAGTCTTGAAAGCTTCTGGGCTGTCTGGTTGCAACGGGGAATGTATAGTATAGTAACGGATTCATCACAGTGGAAGATCAGGACCTAACCTGACCGTTGGAGAGAAGATAACAATCCGATATGTTGGGAAAGAGATAGGGCGCAGGTTGAGTCATCAGAACGACGCCGGTATCCAATTTATGAGGCTTCGGGGCACAGCACGCACTGCGAGCGACTGGCATCTGTGTGCAGGAGCTGGCACCCGGGCAAGCCGGCATCGGAACCTTTTGCACACTTACTCAAATGTAGCATATCATATTCAAGTAACAACTCAACCCCCAAATGGAAAGAGAATACATTAAAATATTAATTATTATTCTCTACTCCGTTTTGGTTATTCAAATTAAGTATGGTACATCAAACTCCCAGGCGGTATCTGGTGATGTGCAATATTTTCTGACGCCAACCTAGCAGGGTGCGCTGATATGAAAGAGGTACCTTGGCGTATTTTATTCAAATATCTACATATACAGTAACGACGATGTGGGTACAAGTGTTTCTGTTTTACTCCAACGGTGACTGGCGAAGTGACACACCATGAATGAATAACAATGCAGGTGGCAATATAATCGTACATGTAACATGTAGGCAAGGCATGGTGTTGGCTGCAAATGACTGCGAGGTACATGTAACCGAATATCACTTCTCCTAACTGCTAGCTCACTATAGGTCAGTCTATAGATGATCTCAATCCTGGACTTGTTGGATGGATAAACCATTGAGTATCTGCTGTTTAGGTAATCTGCTCGGCCGTCACAAACATCGCCTCAAAAGAAAGTGGCCCAAACCGACTTTGACACCCCGCCTCCCTTGATGTGGCGTCTTTCTTCAATCTGCTTTCGATTACAATACTTCTTTGGAAATCATGTCTGGACAGAACGACAAACCTAGGATCGTCGAACTTGCCGAGCGGATCACCGAGGCCGTCGGCCGTCTGCAAGGCATCTTCGTCGAGAAAGGACTCCAGATGCCCTCGTTTGACGAAGACGCTTCTTCTGAAATGCCACTCGAAGCATTTGATGTCCGAGATGCCGTCTTAGACGCGTCTACTGAGATTTACGACATCTTTCTAGATCCCCTAACCCTAATGCTCAAACGTGGCTCGGTACGTTGCCCTAGGGTACGCACAGCATAGCTGACTACTAAATCCGACTTTATTTTTCAGTATAACAACATGGTAAGCCTACAGGCTATCAGCCGCTTCAAGATTGCACCCATGGTTCCCGCCCAAGGACAGACAACGTTCGCCGAGATATCAAAGCAGACTGGTGTGCAGGAACAGACGATTCAACGCCTGCTTCGACATGCCATCACGATGCGCGTGTTCTGCGAACCCCAGCCAGGCCAGGTGGCTCACACCCAAGCCTCCAAGGCTCTTGCTGACCCAAGTGTGGCCAAATGGTTGAGCAGTGGTGCCGAGGACTTCTGGCCGGCCGCAGTCAGGGTAAGATTCTGTGAAGCGACATCATGTGTACTGCTGGAACTCGCCGAGTCTCAAATAGATAGTCGATGCTATCGAGAAATGGGGAGATTCTCAGGAACCAAATCACACCGTAAGTTGCCTGTGTCTCGCCGAAATGAACCGGTCCTTCTCTTTTGCTCTCCTTTGAGTGGTCCGACCTGATCATCGCTCATTCCTCACGAATATTAATATCTGCTCTTGTCATCCTTCGTAGGGATTTGCCCTTGCGAACAATACAGATGGCACGGTCTACGATGTCGTCAGCTCCGATCCAGCAAGGGCGGCGCGTTTTGCTGGGTGCATGAACGCCCATACCTCGACATCTGCTCACAGCTTGTCCTACATCCTGGACTACTACGACTGGGCCGCCCTTGGGCAAGCCCGTGTCGTTGATCTCGGAGGTGCCAGGGGCCACGTGTCCATCGCGTTGGCCTCACGCTTTCCGAACCTCACCCTCTGTGACAAGGGCTGTAATTCAGGGCTTGGAAATATATCAATTCAGCAATAATTCTCTAGGCCCTCTGAGGGTGCTTGTTGCTCTAAGTTTCAATCTGAGTCTGAGGTTCGGCGACAGGTCTTTTATAGACCTGCTGCCGCGGTACGTATTCCTGGTACGTATCTATTCTGTTGCCGACGTAGCCGCCGTCTTGTGATCATACCTTTTGTTAGGCAGTCATACATTCCAACAGTACCGAATAACATCCAACAGCACCCAATATATGTACTCGTGCAGCATTCCTGCATCTCGTATAGCTTCCAACAGGTCTTGGCTCCAATAGCCGTGTGACACCCTCGTCGTGCAGGACATGGAAAAGGTGGTGGAGGGCGCTGCAGCTGAACTGCCGGAAACCCTTCAGGGAAGAGTACAGTTCGTGGCTCATGATCTATTCTCACGACAAGAAGTCGAGGCCGACGTCTATTACCTGCGATGGATTCTCCACAACTGGTCGAACAAGTACTGTGCGATCATCCTTCAAAACTTAATACCGGCTCTGAAGCCAGGCACGAGAATCCTCATCCACGAATCATGTATGCCTGAGCCTGGGGAAACAGCGTTATGGAGGGAACAAGATCTACGGTAAGTCCGGCAACTCGAACAAACTCGATAACGCGTAAAGATACTAACAAGGCCTACCCTGTCAGTATGATGGACTTGAACATGGGCGCCGGGTTCAATGCCCAAGAAAGAACGGTGAGCGACTGGAAAGGTATCCTTCATAATGCAGACGCCAGATTCATCCTTCGAGATGTCATTCAGCCGAAAGGGTCAGCTCTGGCCCTAGTCGATGTTCGCTGGACCGGGGAATAAACATCTGAGCATGGACCTGACCGCCGGCAGAGTGACCGCACGAATGTCAGATTTCTTCACATAGCCATATTTACGTTCCCTCGAAACTTCAGCTCGTCTTAGCTATTTAAAATATTCGATCGTTCTTGACAACCAGGCATTGCGGTAATATTGGTGTGACAGTTGACATGATGATACATCCCACACATGCATGACTCGTATTCCAGTAAACTTTTGGCTCTTACGCATTGTAACTTGTGGGTATACCTGGCTTTGACTTCGCAGTAGTTCACGAAACTTCGACGGCCAAGGTATCGGTAACGTCACTCTGCCTGATAGTGCTATCCAGTGCGCCCAGGCTGTTTCCAGAGGCGCCGTATGTTTGAAGGTGCTTCCAAGCCACGGAGCTTGCCCTCTTGCATGTCATACAAGGTCAATAGACAGTAA